CTGAGTTCGAGAGGGCGGTTCCTGTAACTCAAAAAATAAGCACGATAGCAGAACGGCACCAAGACCAAAGATGTCTTTTCCGAAGAGAAGATTACAGAAAAAGAGTAAAATAGAAAACTGTTCTAGGTCCGATTCCCGGTAAAGATGGTTTCTGTAATTTGGAAATTAGCATGACAGAAGAACGGTGCTAGGACCAAAGTTGTTTGATTCGAGGAAACAAAGGTCACGCCCTCGAGAAACTTTCCTTGATTCGATTCCCGTTAAAGATGTCGCGTTTAGATATGACGATGATAGTAATAATAATAATTTTCTGTGATATTCAGCATATGTATCTAATGATCAGACATATGGAGAGCTTTCGGGCAATAAATATTGATACAAAATATATTAATTTCTCGAATTTCCCCGCTGTAACACTGCCGGTACTCTGCTAGTATTTGCATGTTTAATGTCAACGGACGACTTTTAATTTTTATTATGCCACACTTAACTTAGAAGTCGTATCCTGATTTATTAGTATCAAGTCCCTCCCCTGGCAAGGGAACTGCACTGACATGATAATGATTGTGTGGTAACACAAACTGCAGTGACCACATTTAAGAGAGCAAGGCAGGAAGATGTTGGGGAAGCTCATCCAAGATATGTATATTTTGCAGACTGTTACAAATCTATATTTAATATTTCAAATAACATAATTTCAGAAAGTTTCGTCATCAGTATAGGCTCATAGTTAGGGTCTCTTCTTACTCAAAATGTTCTAACAGTATATTGAATTAGGATTTTAAAATTTATGGTCATAAAATCTTCAGTTATTTTTCATGTAGACTGTTTAAAAAGAGGGAAGTCTGTCTTTATGCTTATGCACCATGCCATACCATCAAGTGGTCAGATTCTCATGCAGCCAGAAGGTTCATTACTACATTCAATATACCATGTACGAAGAGACAGTGAGTCCAGATGACCACCCCTTGTCAGCTGTCCATGGCTGGTTATTCAGTAGATTTGTGGCTAACCTTCTCCTTCACACGCAACCAGAGGATGTCCCATGCAGTGGTGGCAAAACCCTTAATTTCAAATGTAATCTTCAAACATTTCTAGCTGCCTTTTTCTCTTAAGGCAGCAATGATAAATGTTTAATGTATGTAGTTGATACAGGTAGTGTGAAAGTATACTATTTTTTTTCTTTTTTTATTTACTGAAATATCAAACGTAATTGTTGTCACTCTGTCTAAAAACTTCAACAAAATTTACATTAGGAGAATACGTATATGGGAATAATAATAATAAATTCTGTCAGTCGCGGGAAAAAAGTTTTCAAAATTATTTACAGATTCCTGACTATAGGTGATGCACAGAAAATATAACTAAAAGCAATGGCTTGTGTGTTCAGATTACAAACTGAACTAGACTTTCTTTTTGTGCACAAGCCTATTTCAAAATTGTGGCCCTATGATAGACAGAAACAAAACTTAACATTTTCAAGCAGAACAAATCTCCACGTAAGATGGATAACAGAATTCAGTCAGTGGCACGTACCTTTCAATTTCCTACAGCACAAAATCTATCCATTTTTGTCACAAGACCAATTTAATAATGTGGATTTTTTTAATGCATGAATGAATATGTAGTTTTGCTAGCAAAATCTGCTCATTTTGTAATGTGTAGTGACACGGTCCCTGTTTCTAGATCTACTGTTCAAATTTCAATAAATGTATCCTGTTTACAGAAGCAAGAATCAACATAAATTCATCAAAAAGTGGACTAAAACTAAAACTGTAATGAAATAAATCTATCAATCTTTATTTTAATCCAGTATTTAAAAATAATATGGGAAGAAAATTAACAGAATGCTTTTCTTACGAAAATGAACATTTCTCTGCAAAAGGACTAAGTCTACGAGTCAATGACTGTTAACAGGGAATCCATTCCAAAGCAGACAACTTTGTATGCTAATATTAGTATTCTACAATTTTGTGATATTTATACAAAAAAATTTAAATTCAATTGCATACAATTTGTTTGCAGCTCCGGCACGTACATTCATGACGTTACATTTGGCAACATCTTCTGAAAGTGTACCTGCTGCAGGGAATGAGACAATTTCTTCAGCACCAACACAAGGTGCAAACACCACAGCATATGTACCTGGTGTAGCTGCTGTCTCTGTGGCTTCTGAGGCTCCCTCAAACAACACGACCACTCACCAAGTAGTTCACCAAGTAGTCCACCAAGTAATTCAGAAAATCTCATCCAAGGAGCAGGTTCCAAGCATCGCGGCTTCCAATAACAGCAACGCCACCTCATCAGATCGAGCAGAACAAGGGATCTTGACCAAATACTTATATGAGTCTGGTTATGATATCTCAAATGTTGAACTTTGCCCAGATCTGGGCAAAAACATGCAACTACTAGTAGCCATTACATCTGCTCCCAGTCACAAAGATGCTCGTATGGCCATCAGACAGACGTGGGGTCACTACAGGCAGCGCAGTGATCTCAACATAGCATTCCTTCTTGGTTCTAGCAAGGATTCACAGCTTGTTCAGGAGCTGAGGGATGAAAACAGACTTTATGGTGATCTGATAAGTGGCCATTTCCTCGATTCCTACAACAACCTAACCCTTAAAACAGTGTCCTTACTGGAATGGGTCGACAATTACTGCAATCACATTAACTTCATTCTTAAGACAGACGATGACATGTTCATAAACATACCTAAACTGCTGAGTTTCATAGAGAAACATGCCAAGGATAAGCGAACCATTTTTGGACGCCTTGCGAAAAGGTGGAAGCCTATCCGAAACAAGAAATCCAAGTATTATATTTCACCCAACCAATATCAACCAGCCACTTTCCCTGACTTCACCACAGGCCCAGCATATCTCATGACTGGTGATGTGATTCACGATTTATACACCGCTGCCTTAGGTAAGACATACCTCAAGCTGGAAGATGTTTTCATAACAGGAATAGTGGCTCAGGATGTGAAAATTAAACGGACACATGTAAATGAGTTCCTAAACAAACGTGTAGCTATGAATGCCTGCAATATTCAAAAGGGAATAAGTATACACATGGTGAAGTTTCATGAACAGTTTGATCTGTGGAAAAAACTGCTTGATGGAAAGACAAAATGCAAGTAATATCAAATTGCATCTGAACTACAAAGACAATTTTTATACATATTTATTGGTTTCTAAATTTAGAAATACCTTAGTATGAACTGAATAGAACTTATCCATTCAGTAGACATTAAATATTTTCAGTATTCATGTCTTCTGTGTTTCTGGGCTGTGAGAGATTTCATGTCACAAAACATAAATATGCTCAGTGACTGGCCTTACCAAAATCCAAACCTTTATCCTGTGTCATAATAATGAAGAAACTTAACTCTGACAATCAATTGCAGAAATACTTTATTTATAACATTAATTGTTAACCTTTCAATGCTGTATGGGATTTAAATTTTATAATTATAACAAAGTCCTCTAGTAATTGGTAATACCATCACAAAAGCATAAAACTGTGGACCAAACATATAACTAACTAACTAGATGGCTTACCGAACCCAAAGG